AAAAATGAGTGTTAGAAATTCAGCTTTCCTTAAGAAAAATCTAGGCCCTACTGCTGCAGAACCACTCACAAGAGCAACAGCTCTCAAAAACTACTAAAGTGACATCTACCTTGCATCTGTGGAAGCCCCATAGAGCACATCTGAAGAGTATGAATCAAACCCATTTGTTTCAAGAAAGTGAGAAAGGTGCAGACTTGACAATATTTGATTTTTTTTCTAAAATACATGCTCATAATTTGCCAAACTCACCAATTCCACTTTCCCCAAAACTTTTTTCCATTTCCCTGCCCAGCCAGAACCTGGCTGAAGCTGCCTCTTGCTCTTTGGTCTTCTTCTCAAGAAAGAGTTAATTGGATTGGAGCACATGTTCCCTGCGCTCTTTCACAGAGCCAGGCAGCTGGCTCAAACACTAGAGATGGAGTCCAGTTTTCAGGGAAAGATATAGGCAAGCCAGAAGTATGGGCTGGCACGCTCCACTGTTTGGAAAAAAAGCGTACAGCTAAAGACTAAGAGCTCAGAAAAGGAGTCAATGAAGCAGTCTACACATTCTAGGCACACACCACCAGAGTGGTGGAAGGAAACAGTCAGCCGATCCACCTGGAAAATTCTATGGGCATGAAAGGCCTGCATGTGGATCCATGTGGATCAGTGAAAAACAGTGGGAGAACAGCAAAAGGCAGAAAAACAGGAGAACAGTAAAATACTTTATCCTTTGAAATTGTTTTTCAGCATGTCTGGATGCAACAACTTATATGGATAGCATTGATTAACACATTCAATCAGGACAAAAGTAACAGACACTGTGACAGACAGAAGCGGACAGGTTCTCCAGACAGTGGATTAAATTAACTCAGTTTCAGGATTTGGTTCCATACATTACCCATTCTGCATACAGTATCTGTCCAATAGTTCCTTTAGAACAGATCCTTTTCCACGAATACAAAGCATAGTAAAACAAAACCATTAAAACTAAAATACAGTTTCGAGTCTTTGTTACTTGACCAAATATTAATGGTGGTGCTCGAAGTAATGAGAGTCCAAATTTTGTAATTACTTGCAGCTGTCTATTTTTATTCAAAGGCACTAGTAAGACTCTTGTCAGTTTGGGAACTGCAGTTCGTACTACAAGACTTTCAGCATTTCTTACACAATCCTACTGGAATTCAATTACAAGTATCACAGAACAAGACCTATCAGAAATGAAAACTAAAAAACACTCAGAAAATGAGTGTTTCTGTAAGAATACCTTGATCTTTTTGGATCAGAAGAGTATATAAACAGTACAATACTGAGACTGAAAAAAAAAAAATGAGGTGGTGTTAGTCAAGTTCTGGAAAAATATCTCTAGGACAACTAACTATTATTTTACTGTAATTGGACCTAGATGCGCAACAGGTGACTAATCTGACGAATTATACTGTTTCATTTATTTTAGTAGTATAGAAAACATATTTTACTCAACTATATGAGCACTTCATAATGTTAGAAGTATTATGATATAGAGGTGTAGTAAAGGTATGTTTCTCCACCTCCCTGCCATGGCAGAACACCACTGCAGTGGTCTCTTGCATTCTGATTTCTTTCCAAGAAGCATGACCCCTTTTTGTATCAAAACCACAAGGATAAAGGCTCAGATTTAGAAAGACAGATGGGTTTCCATCTAGAGGTATCAAATACTGCCTGATCCCAGCAGAAGGTAGGTAACCAAATACTTTTGAAGAACTGAACCTAAATTTAAACAGGAAATGAGAGACATTTTTCCTCAAGTTAGGTGCTAATATTGTAACACCTGAGCTCTCCTTAATTAAAAATAAAATTTTTAAAAAAATATAATAAAATTGGCCTGTAGCATCTCCAGCAAAGGAAGAGGTCTTCAGATGTAATTGGACACTGAATGAAATCTGTGTAATTTTCACGGGTATTAAAACGTCAAAAAGTCACAAGCAAAAGACCTACAAGGAATGTAACGAATATTCTGAGGTACTAAGAAACTCAATGCTGATAAAACCTCACTATCTCAGTACTATTATCCCGCAACTGTTCTGATGCTGACATCTATTTCCTCTGTCTGAATCATTACAATTGTTGAAAATAAATTTGGTCTAGACAAGCACAAGGAGAAACAAATGCCATACTAACAGACTCTCACTTGTAGCTCACAGAAGGCAGGATTAACTCTTTTTTAACTGAACAAAACCCCTTCTTTAAGTAACAAAGAAACTTTTTTTGCTTGTGTAACTGTTTACAAACCATGCCAAATCCAATATTAACACTCACTTTTAGGGTCACAGAAATTTTTTTTCAACATTTGGCAAAAATAAAGTACTAAATTTTATATAAAGCAGGACCACAGTACATCTAACAGCCTCCGCCTGTTCATGCTTTTAACGCTGTTAAAAGCATCTGCAATGGCTTCCCAGCCATCGGAACACAGCTACACCACCACCACCACATCACGAAGCCTTCAGCTGTCAGGTATGCGCTAGCTATAGTCTCACACCAAAACATTAACAGCCTTAAATATCTCAAAACTAGTTAAATAGTAAGCACTATATAACACAACTCATAAGAAAAACCAGCCTCTAATGGTGCTTTCCACATATTTCTACAAATGGCACTCCTGGTGCCTTCTGCCAGAACAGCATTTCTCTATAGCTTCTTAGAGTGCCATAGCTCCTGACCACCGATCCCTAGTTCTCATGTGAATTAAGTCATTGAGAGCTCTCAAAAAAACAACCAAAAAACAACATTCTGAAGAAAAACATTTTGCTTTTGAAGTCCCATGATACAAATTTTTCTGCCACATTTCCTCAACATGTGGTAGTTAAGACTGAAAGGAAAAAAGAGAAATGTTAATAGAATGGAAAATACTGAAAATAAGTTATATTGATGATTAGTTGGAGCTGCATCTTTTAAATGTTTTTGCAAATAAAGATACATGTTTAATAGGCGGATAGTCAAAGTGAATATGAGACTAGAAGTTAACACAGGTTTCCAGAGCGACTTCACTAGAGATGGAATCTGTCTGCAAACATTTTTTCCCCTCTTTCAATCCTGGCAAAAAAGCCCAAAACAAAATACACACACACCCATACACACCTCCCCCCAATAAGAATACAATTCTGGAAGCTTCAATTCTAAATAGTAATCAATTGTAATACATTTCAGTCCCTCAAAAATGTATTTTAAATAGAATACACCTTCCAGTGTAGTTACATATTTGTAAAATGAATTTTATTTGTACACTGGTCCTTTTACACACACCTCCAGTTTAAGGTAGTTTTTAATTGTTCTGACAACCTGACTATTTTATTTTAAATTTATGTCTCCCATGTGTACTTTTTTTTGATACATACACAGGCAATTTGCCCTAAGTAAACTACAGTAATCATGGTACGGGGTCAAAGATGCACAAAGTCAAAGTCAAATTCAACGCACAGTGCCATAAGCATGAGAATGTTCCCTCTCAGCAGCTTTCCATTTTACATATAGCTATCCCACATATGTATCAGACACCAATTTACACTCTTAGTATTCAAAAATATTACTGATAAAGTCTAATTCCAAGACTACATCCTTCACCTTGTTCCAGTTCCAGCACTAAATTTGCCTTCCAGCTGTTAAACATTTTTACCAAATAGAAGCTCTACATGTTAAATGCATGGTCATAATTGACAAGCTACTTAATTTGTATGTAGACCAAGAAAAAAAAAAAAAAAGTAAAATAAAAATAGTATGCTTCAATGAATGCATTGCTTAAAATTCTTATTAAAATGTGCCAGAAATACACTCAAGATTTTTTCCAAAAAGTTCAATTCCACCCAATTTTTCACGTTTCTCAATTTTACAGAAGTGACTACTTGGCATTTTAGTTGCACAGAAGTAGGTGACAAAGAAAATGCTGGTTTCAAAAAGATGTGAGTTCAAACTTAAATGCCATAACGTGTAGATCTTTTTACATAGATTAGTTATGTAAGCTGAATACCAACAGCAGAAACTTTTAAAGTACTAGATAGGAGTGAAAACTATAAACTGAGTAAAAGGATGCCCATCACTGAGCAGTGTTCCTGAGGAACAGATGTCAACACAAGCTGCTCACACACTGATGTATCTATCCAGCCACCCATAAGCCGACATTTTTTCATACCTATACAAAGAAAAGATCTATTTCCCTGTAAAGACTTAAAATATCGGAGAAAAAAAAAAAGTATGGAGAAATTTTTTCCACTAGTAACATTTTTATGATTGTTATCAGTAGGCACTTGATGGAAGTGTTAATCTCTAATATCACAGTAGCGGGCAGCATTCCAGACAAAACTATGATTAACACAAAGTCACCATAATTATATTTTTCTAACAATCAGAGTTTTCAATGAACAATTTATAAAACTACGTAAAAATTATTCTTCTGTGGTTCATAACCAGAAAGCATTCTATACTCTCAATTAAAGTGTCAGCTTTACTGCACAACTGCTATCTACTCTACTTTGGAACTGTTCAAAATAAAGTGGAAGGAGTGAAAGAACGGTCCATTTGCTCAGTAAACAACATTATGTGACTCTCATACGACCCTCAAGTTGTATGTCTCATGAACCAAGATATGTATTGGAAAATTATTAGCTAAGCAAATTTATTTCAAAATTTTATTATCAACATGACTTACAGCAGAATGAGCCTTTATGCTTCTCAGTGGAAATCTGGGAAAATATTTACAGCCATGCAATTTTCCAGTAAGTTCTACACATCATGATTCAGCCTGTATTACACTATACATCCTGCAAATACATCACTTGGACATTAAACTGTAGAGAGTATCTGCTGTGCTCTGAAGTCTCCTCCTAGCTGACCACATGACTACTTGAAGTATAAAAGAAAGAAATTTACCAAGGCCAATACAGGGGAAAAAAAAGTTTTCTAAGAAAGCAAAACATACAAGAGAAAGAATCAGCAGCAAAAAAAAAAAAAAAAAAATGCCCAAGGCACAACTTGCACACACTTACATTTGCAGCATGACTTCGTTCAGAAACACGCCATCCACTAGTGCCACATATTCCTCCAGGTTGGTCCCATTTCCTCCAGCTAACGGTCCAAATGTCTTAACCTAAAACATAATCATCACCACCATGACACTAACTCCACCTTATTCTCTGCCGCAAGGCATTTATCTTCAAACAATGAGCAAATAAATGAAGAATGTGTGAGGAAAAATGAATGCTTACCCAGGTGACAAGAGGGCTAGACATGAACTGCTCCAAAAGGGGTGTGAATATTTCGTTCTCCATTTTACAAAAAAATGGTTAACATCAATGTAGCTCCTCTGATGAAAAAAAATATTAGAAGTCCTTCGCTGTAGCAACTCTGAAATGATCCCAGGATTTAGCTGGAGCAAGTGAACCCCATTTTTACCAAGCAACGGGCAACTGGGATTTATCTGCCTCTTTCAAGAAAAAAATGCATTTGAAAGTCCATCTACGCGTATTTCAGCCTTTCCATTGATGTCTCTCCCTTCCTACATGCCGAAGGGGTAGAAGGAAGGAAGGAAAGAAAAGAGGGAGGCTGCCTAGCTACTGGGATTCTGCATCAGACAAAAAAAAAAAAAAAAAAAAAAAAGGAAGGAAAAAAATCTGCTTCAGCAGCGGCAGCTCCTCAGAAAGGAAAAATTCCAGTAAAACTCTGCAAGCCCATCCTGCCCCTTCCCCACAAAAAAAATCCAGAGGAGGGGAGGCAAAGAGCGGCAAAGACCCCCACCCCCACTCACGGTTAAGCCCCCCAGGCTGCTTCTGCACACAAGAGAATCCCTC